AGGTGTGTGGTGACGTGTGGTGGTGGGGGTGGTGTGTGGTGGGGGTGGGGTGTGGACAGCAGCAGCAGCAGCAGCAGCAGCAGCAGCCGGCAGGGCATCCACAGCAGCGGACACTGCAGCAGGTAGCGACCCCGCCGGCGCGGCAGACTTAGCAGCAGTAGCTGCAAGCAAGGAGTAGCCCGTAGTACTTGCAATAGTGTACGTAGCTCGTCGTGGTGTCGTGCCGGAGGTACTGCCGCTCCTTGTGCTGGTATGCTTATGCTGCTTGTGTTGGCGGTGCCGGTGGTCGCGTCGTCGTCGTCGTCGGAGTCGGAGTGGTACCGTAGAACGGTAGGATGGCGAAGCACTATGACAGCACGGTGACTACGCCGAGGAAGATGGAAGAAGTTATCTTCTTCCGGACTGTAGTCATAGCTGGTTCGCCGGTTTGACACCCCGAGAGGTTACGTGCCTGTGTGAGTTGGTTTTGCAGATTGAGGATGTTACTGTACCCACACAGCGGTTCGCCAGCACTGCCTATCGCTCGTCGCATATTGCGATGCCGAATACCTGGTTCCTTATGACAGCAGAATGCAAGGAATGCCTTGGTGATGGTGTGTGAGCTAGAGATGGAGGGCTCAGCAGCAGGCCGCTGGGATTGAAGAGAGATTTCCGAGACTTCTCTGGGCTTTGCTTGGCTCAGCCGACGACCCTGGCGAAGCTGAGGTGTCTTTGTCGGCCTCAGTGAAGGCCCTCGTCTCGACGAAGTGGCCTGGTCGGTGTTTTGGGATCTTTCTGCGTGATCGGCTTTTGGTTTGTTTACGCTGCACGTGCTGTCCATGCTTCAGGTGGAGCCAGTGTTCCGTGCCATGGATGCAGTTTTCGTGCCTTGGACCTCGTAGTCTGTTCGGAGTCTGTTCGGGTTGGGAGTGGTCGTGACCCTGCCGTTGCAGGTTCAAGGCCTTATTTTAGCTATGGTATCCGGCCTTCGTCGCAAATCAAGGGTGTCTACAAGCGTGAGTGTCAAGTCCTGATATGCGCGAAGTCAAGGTCTACCTTTTCTTGCTGGAGCTGCTCTTTCGGATCTATGCCGAGCGTAGTCACTGGATCAAGGACATGGCCAACTGGCTCCTGAACGCGATAAAGGGCTTCAACAGCGGAAGGGTTGATTCGGGTTGTAAACGTTGCTTACAGGGCTTAGGGCTTGATTCATGGCTATTGTTCTGCAGATAATGGAGGTCAAGAATTGATGTTCGGAAAGCATACATCAATAGCTAGCAAATTGCTCAGAACTCTGTTGCACACAATTGGACCCTTGCTTATGTGATGCACACCTTTGTCTTGTGTCCAAGTGCACATTTATTTCGTGTGCGCTGCCCTTGCCCGAGTCCAGAGGCTCAGAAAAGTCGGTGCTGACCTCACAGGCAGGGCATTTTGACTTCCGCTGAGGTTCGATGCATTCCTGGTGCTTGTGAGCCTGGTGGAGTCCTGGCCAAGACTGGTTGGTCGGACTTCGAATTTTGGGCTTCCGCATCTCGCAGCCTTGCCGAGGACATGTACATGCTCACGCCTTTGGCCATGGCCAACGACGAGAGCCAGGGGCAGGGAGACATGGCTCCGCCCCCATGAGTTTGGCACTTCTGAAATCTGCAAGTTGTATTGAAAGATGTTGCATATAATAGGTTGGAGTATTACGAAAATCTCGGCTCTGTAGAGACTCTTTCAGTCACGAGATGTGCAGCTCATGTGCGGCCAGAGCCCTCGATCCGGAAGCTTGCGAGGTCCGTTCGCTGAGGACTCTGAAGTCTCTTAGAGCGATCCGAGTTTTGCACCTTGATCGAGTTTGGCTTGTGGGCACTTCTCCGCTTCGGTTCGATGCTTTCGGGAGGGGTCTGGAGCCTGACAGAACTGGAGCCTCTCCAGCGCCGTAAAGGACGAATAGTCAACAGCGCGGCAAAGTGCTCCATAGTATTGCAGTCGCTGTCCCGAGATGTAGACTGAGGAGAACTTTCCGCTTCTTCGACGGTCTACGGCTGTTTGCCAAGGCCGTGGGAGCAATGGGCCCGAAGAGCACTGCAGACCGCAAGACCGAACAGCCACTGTGTCGAAAACCGATCCAAATCTGCGTGTGCATTGGATGAAGCTGTCGGACTTATTTTGTGACCTCCGTGGAGTGGCAAAGACCTGGAGCACTGATCTTCTGGACAGTGACTTCCCCAGTTTGTCCACATCGTGTGAGTCCAAACTGTCCGAAACCGAAAGATCAGTGCCTGAGCTCGGCAGGCTTGCTCCAGCCTGTTGCCATCCCTTGGATGGCCCTTGGTCAAAAACTACTGCATGTTGCACAGGGGCTGGAACTTCTGAGCCATCTCTTGGTGCCTCGTGCTCAGTGCCGTGAAAGTAAGGTCCCTGGTTGTCCTTGGCATGTTCATCTGTATGGGTGCCCTGCTTATTGGCAACCTGCTCCGCAGCTTCATTCTCGATGATTCGGCATCTCTGGCTGATAGGCCGGGAACCTGGACAATTCAAGCCAGCCTTGGGTTTGTCTGGAAATCCTGACTATGCAGCACAACGCATACTACTGTGGATGCTGAACACGTAGTATGCCAATCACCAAGACTCATAGTGCCAGACGACTTCATCCAGGAATCTTGGTTGCGAGGCTCTTTCAGGTAAACTCGTACATAAGAAGGTTCCCCATCCCTTGCGCTTCTTTCGTTATGCAGTGGCGAGTGAGGTTTGCATTTTCGACGGAAGCTTGGTGGAATTATCCAGCGAATTCTGTATCTGCAAGCCCTGCGGAGCTCACTGAAGTCAAGCAACCCCCCTGCAGGCAGTGGATCTGGAACCGCTACGGAACCGCCTACCGCGCCACATACACTCTCTACGAATCTTGGTGGGTGTCACCATAGCTTTGTAAAGGAAAGCCTTCAGAGACGTCGTGACAGATGCAGGTGCTATCTCTCAAAGTCCTGCCCACTCAGTCCGACGTTGTCACTTTCAGAGCCACGGCACGGCACGAGCATCTTCCCTCACGGCAAAAGATTCTGTGTTGTTGCTGGAACACAGGGGGAGTCTTATGCGTTCGTCCGTGAAACCTCATGCAGAAAGCGCTCTGACAGCTCCAAACACTGGAATGACACAAGGTTCCACGTGTGCAGTGCTCTTCGGCAAGTCCGAGCACATTTCGAATTTGATGGTGTAGAAATCCATAAGTCCATGTTGCATGTCTGTTGCCAGTCCTCCAAGGTCTGTCTGTTTCAGGGACCACTTGTCGTGGATCATGCGAAGCTGAAAAAACTGCACTCTACTTTCTTCTTCTATATACCTCCGCCCGACAGTACTTGGCAAGAAAAGGGCTGAGAAACATACAAGGAGTGCAGTGAGGTCAACAACTGATGTTGGGTGGTTCTGTGGATGTAACTCTTGCATCTTGCGAAACGATGCATCTCAAATGTGAACCCGCGTCAGGTTGCCACATTCACTCACCCTACGACACGGTTGTGCAAATGCGGGCTTGATCTAATCCGTACTGTAGCTGAAACGACGAGTTTTGCTGCTCGGCCCTTTCGTCGTAAATGAGACGGTACCACCTCAGCAACTTTCGCCAACAACTGTAAGGAGGTGACTTTTGCAGGGAATTGGCCTACGAACGCACGACCTGTCCGGGGCTTGGCTGTGTCATCACACCGTGATCACTGGGTACCCACTTTGATTTGTTGTTTGTGGCATGTCAGAAATGGATGTGTTAACTCGATAGCTCACGTTGTGTGTCGTCACCAGTGTATATCTGCAGAGGTGATGGAAAAAGTGAGTCACCTTTTCGTGATACTTTGCGGCACTTAAGGACGAGGTGCATTCGGCTTGTGCCCGCATTTGTGCCGAAAGCAGCTTTTGTATCAGTGCAGGTTCGTTGGCCATGTCTCAACGTGGGGATGCGACGAGTTACTGGTAGGTTTGACATCATTGGATTTCCAGACCTTGCGAGGATCTTCTTCCTCGTGTATATCACAATCATCGTGCCGCGGTGGCGCTATGCTGTGACGCGTTTGACTGCCATCAGTATTGGATCGGTTTGCTTGCAATGAGACACCAACAGCCAACGTGCCGAAGAATCCAGGTTTTTGCGATGATTCGAGCCCGCCTCAGTTTCGTCAGGCTTGCGGTGAGAACCTGCGTGCGTTCCCAACTCATCCGACTAAGAATCGTCCATTTCCGTTTGGAACCGCCGTGCCGAGGCCTGATAAGTGCCATATTTCTCAAGGACACCCTGGACGCAGCGCAAAACGATGCCGAGCTACCCGGCCTACACTTAAATCAAACGGCCGCTTCCAGCTTGGGATGTATGCGTGGTGCGAGACGAAGCCACGTAAAGTCGGAGCCTGGTCCACTCTTGAAGGAACCTGGTCCTTCAACGGCTGCGCAAGAAGGCGGAATATTTACAGAAGCTGGAAGATGTCTTCGCAGCCATCGACGACTCAGGCTGGAGATGGGATGAAGTCCCAGGGATCTGCAAGGTACCGTGCCTGGAAAGCGTGTGGATCTCTTGAAATAGCATCCGGGTAAGTTGCTTCAGACCGTTCGCAAGAGGGCTGGAGCTGTGCCGCAATGCATACAAGTACACAGAATGCAACATGATAGCATAGTATACCATACTGTGCAAAACGTTTTCATGCTCTGTGCGCTGTGCCACGGCGGCATGTATGTGCTGCCAAGTCGCATCGTGCTTCGGCATGGCAGATGCGGTAAATGGCTGCCATGATACTAGTTCGGGCATCAACACCCTCTAACCACAAACAACACGGCGAAAATGGACTGTGAGCCACTGCCAAACCCGCCGTGAACCTCTCCCGCGAACCCCTCTCGCAACTCCGGCATCATTCGGGGTTGGGTTAGTTGAGGCCTTGGTGTTTAGGGCTTCAGGCCTTAGACTTAGAGTTTGGCGCTTTTGGCGGTCCGGGCACCTCAACGTGATATGATCGCCGGTTACTATCTGTCTCTATACATCCTGTGGTTCCGATTTAAGGGCTCGTCCCTGCAGTAAGCTCACGATAGACAGCCTGACGTCGCCCGGATTATCCCGGATTCCTACATCCTGCAAGAATCTTTGGAGGCGATGGTATGATCACAGAAGAAAAGCTGGCAAAAGTCTTTTCAAACCCCACCGCAGTGGCCTACTTCCAGCTGCCCTGATGCAAGTGGAGGATGGATTGCTGGGTTTGCAGTTGGGGGTTGGTGTCTGGCCTTGGCTGCATGGCGGCATGCTCGGTATCAATCAGTCTTCGGCGAGGGCCGCAAGGACCTCCGATAAACCTGACAGGAAGATGAAGAACACTTTGTCTTGCACATGCTTAGGACTCTCGACATCGATGCTGCTTGGCTGATAGGTCGCCACTGATGACGGACAGGGTTACTTTGGATGGCTTTCAGGAGGTCGTATATTGATTTTGTTTCCTGTCCAGCTTGTCGCTGTACTGTAGGTTTGGCTTCTTGTGTGCCAAATCGGAAGCATTTTTGCCGAATGTCTCAGAGAGAGCATCTGAAGCCGAAGGTCTCAGAGAGCGCGGCGCTCTTTCACATTCTCGACAATGGCGACCTAGGTTGTTCAGTGGTATGCTTTTTCAACTTTTCTTTGTTTCCAGGTTCGTAATTTAGTATAACGAACCTCAAAAGTTTATACTTTCTCCCGGCCAGTCACTGAACAGCCTAGGTGACGGAGAGGTTACACACGAAGAGTTCATTGCTTCCCGTCCAGCTTAAGTTACTTTTCGTTGTGCATTTGTTGACCCAGCTGTCTCCTAGCCCGACTGTGTACATTCCGTGACTCTTCATCACATAAGTAGTTTCCGAGGAGCAACGAAGCGCATCGCGAGTTGTTTTGGAGCATGTTCTAAGCACGCAGACTTTATGCTGGAAACAGGCGTAGGGAATCGGAGGAAGTATTCCAGTATGTGGCGACACCAAGTGGTTGGAGCGATTCAACCGAACCGCCCTCAGCAAAGTACCATGATTCAACAATGCCCACTCTCTTCTCCAGGACGGCATCATGCGCTGCAAAGGACCTGCTCGCGCAATGGACCAAGTTGCAATGCTTGCGGATGCCTGTCATATGTCTTAAGTATGGCCCTTCGCACTTTGCATCGCATTGGGGGCGGAAAGTGGGTAATGAACCTCCGGGCCAATCCTGCCTCCAGAGTTCGTCTAGCCGGTTCCGCGCACAGTCGCAAGAATCGGCGGCGTTTCGTTTCCGCAGCCAAGGACTTGAGGCAGCTCGACACGAAAATGTCCAAGGTCATGCGGGCGATGCAAGGCAGCGGCTTACATCTCGACGTCGGCAGGCCAACCAGATGCTGTGGCATGGCTTGAGATGTTAAACCATGGAGTGTGGAGACGATTTCCCGTTTCGGGAAATGCTTTGCCAGCGTCAGTTTACCACGCCAGTTTATGCCACTACTTTGATAGACTTCGTAATTGCTTGTTTTCGGTGTTGTTGTGCTTCTTTTTATCCCGATGAGTTGCTGTGGTCGTCTTAAGTATTGCCGTCACTGGCATTCCCTTCTCCATGATCTTCTGTGAACATCGTCATGACCATGATGAACCTCCCCATAGCAACATGGTGATCAGTCGTGGGATTTGTAGCAGCTAGCATAGTGGTGGCGGTCGTCATCGTCGTCGCCGTTGTTGGTGGTTCTTCTCGTTGTGTAGTTGGCAGCGGTGGCAGTGCGCCGGGGTGCCGCCGTCGTCGTCGTCGGGACGCAGCAGCAGCAGCAGCAGCAGCAGCAGCAGGTCGCAGCAGTGGTAGGACAGAAGCAGCGGCACAGTAGCAGAAGCTGAGTAGCTGCGGCCGAGCGCTCAAAGTGTTCAAGCAGTCGTCACGGTCGTCGTCGTCATCGTGGTAGATATCGTGGTGAGGGCAGCAGCAGCAGGAGGAGGATCAGAAGTGGGAGCAGGGGTGGTCGTCGTTGCGGTGGCAGAAGCAGTGGCAATCAATAGCAGAAGCAAGTTCAGCAGCAGTTGCGGTAGCCGCGGCGCTAGTAGCAGCAACAGCACCGGCGGTAGCGGCAGCAGTAGCAGTAGCGCTAGCAGTGTGCTTTTCGTATCATTTCTGGTATCTTACATCTCATTGTGCTGGTGTGTCTTGCTGTTGGTTGTTGCCGCTTGAACTTGAGTTCTCTGGTGCATCAAAGGAAACGTCTACATTCTGCTCGGGTGCGAGCTGTGCTGGGTGTCAGTGACACGCTTTTCCCTACCTGGGAACGATGTGAATTTTCGATCATGATCATACCCCGAGTGCTAAGCGAAGGGGGTGCACAACAGACTTTCCAGCAGAGCTGAAGGTTCCAACTGCTGGGTTCTTGTGCGCTTGTGCAGCTTTTAAATTTCATTTTAATTTTACGCCTGAGGCGTGTGCAATCCGTGGCTCCGCGCCGCAGTTTTGCAGTTTTGCTGAGTTTCGTCGACTCACCGAGGGTTCATCCCTCTTTGGTCGCTTCTTGCTAGTCCGCTCGTGTGCATCTAGCCACCCCCAACCGCGGCTCACCGCCATTCCTCGGGAAAACTTGCGAGGGCTAGAACTATCTGGAACTGCGTGAATTTTGCTGGTGTTTTGGAGGTTTGCTGCATCCTGCATTGCTGAGCGTACCTTACAGTTTCATTGTTCGGCCTGCCATATTTCCTGACTCCCGTTTACTAGCACTACGCACTTTACTCACGTGACGAGCTCAGGAACATCAGCCCACTCGCATCCTCAGCTCGTCCGGTCCGTCCAGTTTTCGCTGATAATCCTAGCTTAAGCGACGTAGCCCTGTGACTTTCCCGACTGGGTCCGAAGCTGGAGAAGGACAAGCCAGAAGCCCCAACTTCACTATCACCGTCGTCGTGAAGCAGTCACAGGTCCTTGGGTTCTAAGACTTGAATATCCCTAAACCCTAGACCCCATGGTGGGACACAGAGACCTCGTCTGGCGGAGTCCGAGTTGCGAGAGTGAAAACCTTAAGCCCCAAAAGCCCTAAACTGCGAACCACGGATCAGCCTCGCCTGCACTGCCCGAGTTGCGAGAGTCCAAACCTGGTTTCCACGCCTTTCTGGGCCCCGGCCCCGTTGCCTGTTCCCACCCTGGCTGGAAATGCGGAGCCAGCCGGAAAACTCATCATGTTGTTGTAATCTGTTATCATATTCTGAATTGTGATGGCTGTTCTTGTTATCATTGCTGTAAGAATACCGACAGATAGTTTACAGTCATCATACTGGGTGCTTTTTCTCTATGCCAGTGGTGGCAGATCAAAAGAGGGGTCATCGCCCTCAACCTGAACCAGGCGCTGGGGAAGTTTGATGACGCAGAGCCTTTGGCCAGGAAGGCCCTCGAGGGCTTCAGGACGGGGACCGTGAGCAAGGGTTTCGGTGCTTTTTGCTGTGGGTTCCCGTTGGCCGCGTCGTTATAGGGGTTCGAAAACGGGTGGGGTTAAGGGGTATTCTCAGGGTGGCCCTTTCTGGTTTATGTAGGGGGGTTTTAGGGCATGGCGAGGTTTCTTCAATGCCGGGACGGGGGATCGGGAGGCCGAGGCATCAGCGGTTCTTAGCTGCAATGTTTTCGCTTCTTGTGACGTCCATAATCCGACGACTGCGACAGCCAGCACGCATGAAACGACAAATCAGTAAAGCCTCTCAACCGAACACGCTTGAGCAACATAACAAAGCTCTTGCATCAGCCGCGAACGGTTAGGAGCAAGTTGGGCGGCCATCACCCCGACACCCTTCGCAGTGTACTCCATTTCTCTGCAGTGTTGCGAGTGGCTTGGAGCCGACTATGAGACTGCTGGGGATTGAAGGCAGCGTTCCAAGAGGTTTGTTCGGAAGTTCTCTCTCACGTCTCTCAGTCTCATGAACCCTTGAACACGGCCCTTATCCTTCTAATTCTACCCAACATAAAAAAAGGGAGGCTTTTACTGTACCTCTTCTTTCTTTTAAGAGGGGTACCGACTCGACTGTCTCCTGGCCTAGGCACGGGGCCAGTTCCGGGAGGCCGAAGGCCTCTGCCGCGAGGTGCACTCGCGGTTCAAGAAGGCCTCCTCTGTTGATCTTGAGGGTTTTGGGGTTTGGGGTTTAGGCTTTAGGGTTGGGGTTGTGGCACTGCACATGCTTTGGAGGTGCGGTATTGGCAGAGTTAGGATTGGAAAAGCACTGATAATGAGGATGCTTCGACCCTGTTGCTTTTGATGATCGTTTTTTCTTTCACGCCACCGGCTGTGCAAAAGCAAGCTTCTGTAGGATGACGCCTAAGCCCATAGAGTGCTTGCCAATAATCGCGAAAGTCTGAAGGTGCCTGAGCAAACACGGCAGAGACAGATATGCATTGGCACGGTTGTAGACTTTCGCCAATCACTTCGCCGATCAGCACTGACTTCGCACAGCGCAGCGTTGCAGAACACCTTGAGCTTGAGCAAAGATTTGCGAGAGCGCGCTGGAGGATCTGAGCCCTGAGCATCCCGACACCATCACCGCGGAGGAGTATCTGGCACTTGGGCGGCAGGAGCAGTTCAGGGATGGCAGTCGATTCGTGCCGCAAAAAAGCACTCTACTTTTCTTCTCCTTTGCGCAGGCCGGAACCACTCAGCATCCTGGAAAGTCGAGAGGGGTCTCTATCTGCCATACAACCGGCTTCGTAGTCCCTATCGTATCCTGGACTGGCTGATGGCGCAGGCAGATTCGCTGGAAGAGGAGGGCTCGCGCATGGAGGAGGCAAAGCACATGGGATTCCATGACATGTCGTTCGAAGTTGCGGGGCGGGTTCTGGCAGAGCTGTTGAAGCAAGCCACAGTTCGCAGTCACTTCCCTTTCGGATGCTGTGTGCTACTGTTCGCGTTTTCCTGCTGTGCGGTGGGACGATCATCATGGAGCCTTCACGGGACAAATGAGCTTTGCTTACCAGGCTCGTGCTGTCCGGCGACGAGTGTACGAGGCTCTGGGCTCTCAGCGTTTGCACTGCAGCCGCAGGAAACACAGCTTTAGAATAGCATGCGGGCGACCAGCCAGTGGAAAAGTCGGATGTGCAGACTGCCAGCGCACGAGCTGCGTGCCAGGCGAGATACTATGCGCAGGGCCCGTTTCACACAGTGGCTTGGATGATTTGGCCACGTGGAGGTGAAGCCCTGACGATGTGGGTCCAAACCCACACTTTGCATGG